CGAGGCCTGCTGGGGGGCCCAGCACAGTGACGCCACGGGCGGACCCAAATTAGACCTCGCCATCCCTGGGGGGCTGCGATCTGTGAAACTGTCGCCACTTTCGAGGCCTGCTGGGGGGCCCAGCACAGTGGGCCACGCGCGGATTCAAATTAGACCTCGCCATCCCTGGGGGGCTGCGATCTGTGAAACTGTCGCCACTTTCGAGGCCTGCTGGGGGGCCCAGCACAGTGACGCCACGGGCGGACCCAAATTAGACCTCGCCATCCCTGGGGGGCTGCGATCTGTGAAACTGTCGCCACTTTCGAGGCCTGCTGGGGGGCCCAGCACAGTGACGCCACGGGCGGACTCAAATTAATACTCGCCATCCCCGGTGGGCTGCGATTTTTGAAACTGTCGCCACTTTCGAGGCCTGCTGGGGGGCCCAGCACAGTAACGCCACGGGCGGACCCAAATTAGACCTCGCCATCCCTGGGGAGCTGCGATCTGTGAAACTGTCGCCACTTTCGAGGCCTGGGGGGGCCCAGCACAGTGACGCCACGCGCGGACCCAAATTAGACCTCGCCATCCCTGGGGGGCTGCGATCTGTGAAACTGTCGCCACTTTCGAGGCCTGCTGGGGGGCCCAGCACAGTGACGCCACGGGCGGACCCAAATTAGACCTCGCCATCCCTGGGGGGCTGCGATCTGTGAAACTGTCGCCACTTTCGAGGCCTGCTGGGGGGCCCAGCACAGTGACGCCACGGCGGATTCAAATTTGACCTCGCCATCCCTGGGGGGCTGCGATCTGTGAAACTGTCGCCACTTTCGAGGCCTGCTGGGGGGCCCAGCACAGTGACGCCACGCGAGGACCCAAAGTAGACCTCGCCATCCCTGGGGGGCTGCGATCTGAGATCCCCGCTTTCGAAGTGGCTAGGGTTGCTCAGGGATTGCAACTCATCAGCTTTATCTAGTCCTTGTCCTGAAGCCAGTTTCCTGCGAGTCTCCCGAATTCCGTCTGCAGGCATATGTAACCGTCGTTCCGTCATCGCCCGCCTTATAAAGTGTCCTAAACTATTTGCGCCCCGCGTTTGCGCAGGGGTTGGGTACGTCGCCAGGGTAATGTTATGTATATATGTCATATATATACATATATATATATATGTATGTATGTATGTATATATATATATAACACATCTCTCATATGTTTCGTGGTTCATAGGGAGCTCCCAGTGGCAGCGCCCGCATGCGTCCCCCAGCCCACTCGGCACACCCAGCACACGTTTCGGGGGTTCCAACCGCGTTGCCCCGTGCTCCATCCATCTCGCGGCGCGATGTCCATGATGAGAAGGTGATATCCTACGTTACTCACAGCTGCATCTGATTGGGTCCTTCGCCACGCTAATTTCCAGTGAAGCAGCTCCTGGGCGGTTCCCATGGCCTGTTTCTTCGTATTTGTTCGATTGAAACGGCAAGAGGGCCCCAAGACGACCCAAGAGGACCCCAAAACGGCCCAAAGACGGCCCCAAGAGAGCTAGCTCCAGATGGTTTCGAGACGGTCCAAGGGAGCCTCGAGACGGCTCCAGGGGCCTTCAAGAGGGCCCTCGATAAGGCTTGAGGAGGCCAATTAGCTTGACGAAGGACCCAACCATATGCAGCTGTGAGCACCGCAGTCGTGAGTATCATCTTCGGTGGAGCTCCCTATGGGGCCACGAGACGTGCGAGGGGTGTGCCAAAATGAGTGTGGCGGACGCACGTGGACGTTGCCTCTGACCCTTCGGTTCGGTGGAGCTCCCTATGAGGCCACGAAACGTGTGAGGGGGTTGCCGACGTGGGTGTGGCGGACGCACGAGGACGGTGCCACTGGGGCCTTGGGTGGAGCTCCATATGGGGCCACGAAACTTGTGAGGGGTGTGCCGGCGTGGGTGTGGGAACGCATGTGGCTGGTGCCCCTGGAGCCTTGGGTGGAGCTCCCTATGGGGCCAGGAAGCGTGTGGTGAGGGGTATGTCGAAATGGGTGTGGCGGACGCACGTGAACGGTGCCACTGGGGCTTTTGGTGGAGCTCCCTATGGGGCCACGAAACGTGTGAGGGGTGTGCCGAAATGGGTGTGGCGGACGCATGTGGACAGTGCTACTGGGGCCTTGGGTGGAGCTCCATATGGGGCCACGAAACTTGTGAGGGATGTGCCGGCGTGGGTATGGCGAACGCATGTGGCTGGTGCCCCTGGGGCCTTGGGTGGAGCTCCCTATGGGGCCAGGAAGCGTGTGAGGGGTGTGCCGAAATGGGTGTGGCGGACGCATGTGGGCAGTGCCACTGGGGCTTTTGGTGGAGCTCCCTATGGGGCCACGAAGCGTGTGAGGGGTGTGCCGAAATGGGTGTGGCGGACGCATGTGGGCAGTGCCGCTGGGGCCTTGGGTGGAGCTCTCTATGGGGCCACGAAGCGTGTGAAGGGTGTGCCGAAATGGGTGTGGCGGACGCATGTGGACGGTGCCACTGGGGCCTCGGGTGGAGCTCCCTATGGGGCCACGAAACTTGTGACGGGTGTGCCGAAATGAGTGTGGCGGACGCATGTGGCTGGTGCCACTGGGGCCTTGGGTTGAGCTCCCTATGGGGCCACGAAACGGGTGAGGGGCGTGCCGAAATGGGTGTAGCGGACGGATGTGGACGGTGCCGCTTGGACCTTCGGTGGAGCTCATTATTGGGCCACGAAACGTGTGAGGGGTGTGCCGACGTGGGTGCGGCGCGGCGGGCGAATGTGGACGGTGCCATTGGGGCCTTCGGTGGAGCTTCCTATTGGGCCACGACCCGTACGAGGGGTGTGCCGACGTGGGTGTGCCACTGGGGCCTTAGGTTGAACTCCCTATGGGGCCAGGAAGCGTGTGAGGGTGTGCCGAAATGCGTGTGGCGGGCGCATGTGGACTGTGCCATTGGGGCCTGGGGTGGAGCTCCTTATGAGGCCACGAAGCGTGTGAGGGGTGTGCCGAATGGGTGTGGCGGACGCATGTGGACTGTGCCATTGGAGCCTTCGGTGGAGTTCAATATGGGGCCACGAAACGTGTGAGGCGGAGGAGGAGGAGGAGGAGGAGGAGGAGGAGGAGGAGGAGGAAAGGTTTCGGAGGTTTTTCTGGTTTTCATTTTTTCGTGTCCGGAAGGGCCCAACACCGCCCACGAGGCCCCAAAGCTCGTCCCACGACGGCCCAAGAGGGCCCCCCAAAGGAGCCGAAAATTGTCCAAGAGGGCCCCCAGACTGCCCAAGAGGAAGTCAAAACAGCCCAAGAGAGCCCCACGGCGGCCCCAAGAGGGCTCCAAGAGGGTTTCAAGAGGCCCCCAAGCAGCTTCCAAGGGGCCCGAAGAGGCGGCGTGGGGACTGGGCTGCTTGGTTCTTGGCTGGTCCCAAGACGACCCAAGAGTTCCAAAACAGGTCCTGGGCTGGCCCCAAGACGGCCCAAGAGTCCCAAAACAGCCCCCGAGAGGGCTTCAGGAGGCCAAATGCATTGTTTTTCTTGTACGACTTTTTCCAGGTTTTTGAGGGTTCTCGCTTTTTCTGGCCTCGAAGGGCTCCAGACGGCCCAAGAGGTCCCAAAGATCGTCCCCAGACGGCTCCAAAAGGAGCCGAAAACGGTCCAAGAGGGCCCCCCCAGACGGCCCACAAGGGCCCCACAACGGCCCAAGAGGGCCCCAAGACGGCCCCGCGAGAGCTCCAAGAGGGTCCCAAGAGAGGCTCCCAAAAGGGCCCGAAGAGACGGTGTGGGGACTGGGCTGCTTGGGTGTGGGGACTGGGCTGGCCACAAGACGGCCCAAGAGTCCCAAAACGGTCGCAAGGAACCCCCAAAAGACTCCCAAGAAGCCCCAGAGACGCCAAGGGACACATGGCTCCCCACAGCGAGCGGTGACGTAACAAGCTCTGCAAACCAAGGCTCCCCAGAGCGCGGAGACGTAAAGAGCTCTGAACAGCAAGGTTCCCAAGAGCGCGCGGCAACGTAAAAGACTGTCAACACCAGGGCCACCAACAGAGAGCGGTAAAGCCACACGCTCCCAAATTCGCAGGCGCAGTTTCGCACTACGATCCGCTGAATGGGAGTCGTAGACTGCTCCGGTGGAGCCCGTGGTTCAGATGCGTGCCCAAACGGCTTTTGGCCGGTCTCATCTTTGACGGAGGGGTATTTTTGCAGTTCAGCCAGAGAAGTTGTGATAGTAAGTATTAATTGTCGTTGCTGAGTATGTCACGTAGCATATGTAGCAGTGCACGCAGTGTGAGCTGGCGCAGTGCATGTAGTTTCATGCCCTGAGCACCGCCTGCCCTTCAGAGTTTCAGAGGACCGCTCCTACGGGAGCCGGCGCGCAGGCTGAACTGAATTGGGCTGAATTGACACGATTCGGTTCGGCTTGATTCACCGGCATCGTCCATGTCCAGCCGAAGCTTGGCGCGGCGATGCGGTTTCGATTCGACTCGGGACGATTCGTTGGCGATCCGATCCGTTTTCGATCCGACCCGATCGGGTCGGTGGATAGCGCGGCATCGCTGATGCATCGGCGGTACAGTAGGCACACCAAACAAAAACTAGCCCGCCAACTGGTGCCCCACGGTGATTTCTCATGTCCTTTTTAATCCTGCAGCGACGGAGCCCAGGGGCAACTCGCGGAGCTCAGAGACGACACAGGGTTAGCCCAGAAATGCCCTATAACAAAAGATATGATCGAATGTGCCTGCTGTAGGGCTCGATTCGGATCCAGATCTTCTCCATCTTCACGTCGCCGTATCCTAAGACCTGGGCGTTGCAGCTTTTGTATTCGGGCCCCGCGGCCATCACAAATCGATCCGGCTCGAGAACTGCCCCCAAACGGTGGGGTCTAAACTCTGGTCGTGATGTTTCGCGATGTTGCATTTTCCGCGGGGTCAGATTTAAGCGTATCGCTGATGCATCAGCGGCAGGGCTCGATTCGGAACCCGAACTTGTCCATCCCAACGTCGCCGATCCTCCGGACCCCACCTGCTCGGACCCTATCTGGGCGGCCCCCGCAGGAGGAGGAGAGCAGCCAGAGGTTCCTGGCGCGCGCTCGGGGATCGTAAGGATGAGCTTTTACCATGGAGCGAAGAGGGGAAAACTGCGCAAGCATAAATTTTAGGAGGTCCGCGCGGACTTTTGTGGTCGTCGCTGGGCTCTCCTCCCAGGCGCGCGGAGCGCTAGGGGGGCAAAGCGCCGGTCGAAGAAATCCGCGCGGACCTCCGAAAGTTTGTGTTTATGCAGTTTGGTGTTCATCTTATGAAGGGGGGGGTCGTGGAGGAAACGGGTCCGGGAGGCTATTCGACGTCTTAATGTTTTTGGTGGCCTTTTCCGGGAGCCTTGGGCCGTCCAGAAGCGGCTCGGGACGGAAAGCCGGCCTCGGGCGAACCCTCGGGGTCCATCGCTTCTTTCTCTGTAAAGATCCGAGATTGCATTTTTATCGCGCTTTTGACAGTTCCGGGGGCGCCAGGAGGCTTCTTGTCGCCACGGCTTGATTCCCCTTTAGAAGTTCCGGTCGGCTTCGGACAGATGCAGGGGCGAGAGGTTCTGGACTGGACAGCGAATCGGTTTATACCCAGATCTTCACAAAGTCGGAAGAGTCGAGGTTGATAGGGTCTTTCAGTTTTTTCGGATTCAGGGGGTCGTTTCCAGGGTCCCGCGGCGGGCAAGGGACGATGCGGAGCTTGTTCCTAATTTGATTCGAGCAAGTTTGCTTCCATGGAGGGTTTGGCGGGCTTCCGGACGTGCCTCTAAGGTAAAGCTGTAAGCCACGCGAGCTCATCGTTCATTGCACGCTGTCCTGCCCAGTACCGAGAGAGAAAGTGGCGACAAGGTAACCCTATAGGGACGGGGTCGAGGGGTCCGCGAGCTCAGAGGCTCAAAAGCACTGGGCTTCTGTCTGCGAGGATCAGGGGCGTGGGGCGCCTCCGGCACCGGAGCCGCTGCTGGGCGCAGCTCGCGAAACTGGCCAGAATGTCAAAGGAAGACAAGATACCGAGACCGCGAATGTCAGACCCAGAATTACGCAAGGAGGGCCCACCACCGTCCTCTCTCAGGGGGGGGCCTCGCTCCCAGAGGCGAAGTCATCACTATACTACGGAGCTGCGACGATCCAGTTTCAGTTGCCTGCTATTTTTCGCGTAATGTCGAGAGACGTGGCTCTGGCTTTCTTGGGTCGCCCAGGCATTTCTCATCCTTGGCCACAGAAGTTATTTAACACTCTTGGGCTCACAGTGTCTGTCCGTCTTCAACACGGCTGGATTCGTCTCTAGGTATTGGTCATAACGCGCCTTAGGAGAGGACAGGGGAGAGTATGGGTACCTTCGTGTCCCCCCAGGATGTGCCCCAGAACGGGGTGCGGCGGCGGGGACCGAGCTGACCCCCCCTATGGTTTCCCCGCATCCCGTGCTTCCAGCGGCCTGCGTTTCTGGAATCTCGCCGCAGGCCTCTCGACCGCTTTTCGCTCCGAGTCGCACTCTGACGGTCTCGGGGCCTGGCTGAGCGGCCTCCCGAGGCCGCGGGCGCAGAAAGGGTGGCCGTCGCGAGGGTCCAGTGACCGATTCTGAGCAGCCAGAGTCATGGTTCCGAAAGCCAGAACACTGCGAACCAGGTTTTGCCTGATCCTGCGGGAGGAAGCGAGGGATGGAGAGTGTCTCGACCCACGGTGGCAGTGATCTCGTGCGTGCCAGTGGCCTTCTTGGCAGAGCCCCCTTTGACGTGGCCCTAACTGAGGTTCCGGCGCGAGAGGGAGGAGTACGAGCGTTGGCGGCAGCGCAACGCCGCCCCGCCGCCTCGTCCCCCGCCGAGCTACGCCTACTTCCGCCCAGGGGTCTTGGGGTGCAACGAAAGCCCAGGCGGTGGGGTGAGGAAGGAAACCCAGAGAGGCGAATGATAGTTGTTTGTTTGAAAATCGGCACGCCTTCCATTGATTTCGGCCCATGTCTCATCCTGCTGCCAAGATGACTACCGCCATCACACCCACTCCCACTATTCATTCCAATGACTCCTTCTACTGCCGATGCTGATGCTCCACGATGCGATACTGATGAGGGGATAAGGAGGAGAAGGAGTAGAAAGAGGCTTAGAGGGATGATAATGAGAGACTCGAGGGGGGAGAGCATCATCAGGAAGAAGAGGGGATGGGAGGGGGCAAAGAGCAGATGGAGTGGAAGGGGCAGGAGCGGGGAGGAGTGCATCCGACTTCTGGCTGATTGTGACTCAACGCTTGTGCTGGAGGGCGTCTCAGTAGGCCTTCAAACTTAACTACCTCTGTGGTCCATGCACGGCCGTCGCCACCAATCTAGAAATTGAGTACCACCGACATTTCGCGACACACGCCGTGTATACATTATATAATCGCACATGCACGTGTGCATGTAAGCATGAGTGCATGTGCATGTAAGAATGCGTGTCCACAAACACGTGTTTGTGTATATATACACACTTTTTTGTATCGGAGGCTGGGGGTGCGGTCGAAGTGAAGCAGAGCCCCCCTCGCCAACTGGTTTCGGATTCGTGTTCGTGTTTTTTTTTGAACTCCACGCTCTGTCCGCCACGTTTAGCGAGGCACCCTACGGCGGGGGGAGAGCGCCTGCAGGCGGAAAAAAGGTCCGCCACGGCAAGCACCAGGGCCAAAAGGGGGCGGCTTGGTGAGCCGAAGGGCCAAGGACGGGGAGGGCAAGTTGCACCCCGTGCCCTGACGCGCAAAACCAAGAAAGAGAAAAGAAAGGGCGACGCAACGCAGGGCGACGGTCAGGGAGGCCTTGCCTCCCCCGTGTCGTGGGCCGCGGCAAGCAGGCGTTGGGCTAGCGCTGCCTGGCGCCTCCCGCGAGCATCCTCCACCTCCGAGGACGGGGGGGGAGGCTCAACCGAGGGAGCGGGGACCTCCTCCACCTCCACGTCCTGTTGCACGACTCGGACTTCGTCCGCGGGGCCGAAAAAGGCTCATGATATTGCCAGTGTGGACCCGCACCTCACGCTTGCTATACTGTGGGTGGAGGTTTCTGTTGCACAAGGTTTTCCAGCCCGATCTGGTGGTTCTCGCCGGCTGGCCAACACATTCGAAAGATTAACCTCGGCCCCTCTGTCCCGAGGAGTACCAGTAGCAGCGCACACAGATAAACAAAACACTGAGGTCCGAACAGTCGAAAGTTATGACCCGATGCTCAAGCGCCGTGAGGCGGCCCTCATCAAGTTTGCTGCGACCACTACACGAACCAGGAGGGGGCTCAAACAAGGCCTTGGCGCCCCTCAAACAAGCCTTGCACCTCCACGCTCCAGACCACGGTCTCCAGGCATGTGGTAAAGAAGCAGACGCGGCAGAGGGAGCCTTGATCAGCTCGACACCTGACAAGTCGATGGGGTCCCACAGCGGCAGAAAACGGGCCGCGAGACGCAAAGTACAGCGGCCCGCTCTGATAAGCTGGTCGGCGGCCTCATTGGCAGCAGCCGAACTGGCATGCAATCCGATGGCGTGCTTAGCTACTACGTCCGCCCATTCATTGCCCTGCCTGCGCCAACTCTCTTTACTGGAGATGCCCTGCTCGTCAATATCCTTGTGAGCAGCTACCTTCTGCACTGGAAGGAGAGAGGAGGATGTGGACTAACACTGAAGGAAGGCTCCAACATACACACGCTTGCCCGAAAGGTGGGCATCTTTTGGCAGGCTGGCAAGCTTGACTACATTATTACAGTCCGACCAGGCACTCGCGTGTCCTGGGGTGCTGAGCATGTGGGCCCACGTGTAGGCCGAGAACTCCGCGCTCTGAGGGGTCTGGGGATATGGGGCCCAGACAGGAGCTTTTCATTCAGCAACACACCTACCAGCCCGATCCACCATCGCGACACACGAAACAGCTCTGCTTAACTCGCGAATGGGGTGTCTCGTGCACGAGCCGTCTATGAAAAGGTCACCCCAGAGCTGCCTGTCCAGGGGGCCTCCAAGAGGGGAAACCTGATCAGTATCGTGCCACACGATGACAGGACCATCATCCGCATCGGTCGAGGGCCTCGGGCAGGCGTCGGCGGGATGGGCGACAGCCCCCGAGATGCAGGGGAGAAGCGACGCACGATCTCCACCTTCAACCTCGAGCGCCGCCGCAAGATCTTCTGGCACCACCTGGGAGTTGCGCACAGACGCGACACAATTCGCCTGACACTTCCAACGCCCGTGGAAAATGCTGTCTGGCTGCCCGCAGAACTGCCAGCCAACATCCATCTGGTAGCCCAGCTGGAGCGCACGCTCCATAGTAGGAAAGGCTTCGGTGGCGAAAGCTCGAATCCTACCTTTCTCCAGGGTGCTGAACTTCTTGCTCGATGGGGCTTCCTTGACAATATCGTAACACAGACGGTGATTGACCCCTCTCTTGCTGGCAGAATCGCCCTGAGCGCCCGACCAGCCGTGTAGTCAACGTCTAAGTTGACAGCCGAAGAAACAGGATGGGTCGAGAGCTCGGCCAACTGAGACGACACCTGCTCACCCACGGATCGAGCCGAGGCAACGATGCCAGTCTTGTCCATGGCGAAGCTGCAACCCAAGACATCTTCCACAACACCCTTCAACTGCCACGCACAGCTCACAATGGGGGCGACGACCTTAGAGGGGGGGCCAGCGGAGGAAAGGCCGAGATCGTCAATGTAGACGTCAAGTTCAAGGATGGGCTGCCGAATGATACTGCCATGGCCCTCCATGCCGTGAGCTCGGATGAAAGTGGCGGCGAAGCTGCGCCAGCCACGACCCCGCTCGAAGCAAAAAAGGAGCCTTCCACGATGCCGGCCAGGCTGAGGAACCGCCCGCAACGGTAGGCGCCGAGAGCAATTCGAGCAATGACAGACGGAAACTTGCGTCGCTCGCATCTCCCTTGAAGGGCAGACAAGGAGATGTGCTCATAAAACTTCCTCAGATCAAATAGGACATTGCATGACACTTCCGAACACTTCCCCCCTCTTGACACCGTCTTCCGACCGAACAGCCTGTCTTCAAACGACATCAGCCGCGCCTCGACGCTTGCCCGCGGCCCAGTGCCTCCTGGGGCGCTGCTGCCCCCAGTGCTGGGCCAGGGGCCGTCTGAGACGACCGCGGACCCTGCGCCAAGGGCAGAACGGCCCAATCGGCCTGTAGCCGCCAGCTGGCTTGGAGAGGAGGGCGAGGAGCACCGCAGAAGTCTGGGGCGGCAGACGCCCCACCGCCTCGACGAGAGCGAGTATCATGCTAGGATATTCAAGCGCTGGATCTCCCAGGAGCGAAAAATGGCGACAGTGAAGCCCATCCAGGGACACCGCGACAAGCCGGGCTTGCACCGCTTGGAGGCGGATCGGACGTCATCAGCACTGAGACGAGGGAGGGGCTCCAGGATCTGACCAGAGGGCAAAGCCCCTGCACCCTGACCCCACGCCGCACTGAACCGAGCATCTTCAGCCTTAAGAAGCGAGAGGGGATCGGCCACAGTGCTCCCTTTAGCGCTAAGCGTGGTGGTCGGGGTCCAGGGGGTGGGACCTCTGGCGACCTGGTGAACCCGTTTCGACCCCGAAGCAATGCCAACATGCAACCAAGCAGACCAGTCCATGCGCGACTGCTTGGCGAAAAACTTGCCGGCGGCCCCGAGCTCCTCCTTAACTCCTTGCTCGAAATCGACTAGATCTTCGGTCGACTGATTAGAGGCGCCAGCAATGCGAGCAGCTCGAGAGAAAATGTGGGAACTGGCTCCCGTGTGCTGCGCGATGTGCACCCGCGGCATGCGCAGCAAGAAACCTAGGTTGTCCGACAACTGGTGGTCGCCCTCGCGGCGAGCAAGAACTAAGGCACGCCACTGGGCCGCCAGCCAACGAATAGCTCGATGCGCCGGGTACTTGCAGCGGCCGTCCGCAGCGAGGAGCGAGCGCTAGGCCCCGACCATCTGCGGCCCTTCTCTTGGGCAGCTCAGCCCCCAGAACCGGCGCCAGGTCAGACTCGGCTCGGTCCGCCCAGGCCTGGCGCAGCGGACCCGAGAGCTTGCGTGCCCCCTCAGAAATCTCGATTGGCCACCTTGTCCAGGGCCTCCCCGGCAAGGTCGAGTTCCCGAGTCCACGAGGGCCCACAAGGACGGGGGCCGAAGACCACCTCCACAGGATGCAGGGGAGCTTTGCGGACAGCCAGCGCTTGCAAAAGGGCGACCTGAGGGTGCAAGACCAAATCAACTGGTCCATGGGGGTCAGAGACGTCGAGAAATCCACCGCACACTCTCTCACTCCTTTGGCCAGAGACAAAGTAATCAAAGACGGAAGGCTTCCCCGCAGGGAAAAGAGCGCACGAGGCAGGGACCGCAAGAACACCCTTCAACTCTTGGACAAAATCCGAGTCTTCAAGGGGCGGGGGCTCAAAATAGTGGCTTCTTCCAGCAACGAAAGGCAATTCGCAACTGGCAAGAAACATACCAAGCCGAGACAGAATGCCAACGCTGCGATCTGAGAGTTCTTCGGCATGGCAAAGGTAAGAGGACGCGACAATGATAGGGGGGTGCCAGGAAAGTGGATGGACCCCGCAAGACATCTACCTGAAACAATCTCTCCTCCCGGCAGCGCCTGGAGGCCAATCCAATCCTTGACGAAGATCGCAACTCCAGCCGACGTGTCAGCCTCAGTCTTCCCCGCATCTGACCAAAGGGACTTCCAGCCCCTCTTGATGCACCGCGCGTTAGCAGCCTGCACATCTTCGCCTCTCAAGCGGTGCTCCTGACACGACATGGGCGTGTGAGATACTCTCCAGAAGGCCTTTCATCGTGCCCCAGGAGTTGCAGTTGATGGTATTGACACAAAGCTCAACACTGGTAGGATCAGGTCTCACTCCCCCAA